CCTTCATTCATCTTTCATCCTTTTTTCTCAGTCATGGCTTCAGTTCTGATTGTTTCTATCTCTTTTACTGCAACAGTGTCTAATCTGTTATTAAGCCCATCTACTCAATTTTTTTATTTCAGATGTTGAATTTTTTAGTTTCTACAATTCCATTTTCATGTTTTTAAAATTTGTATTTTTCTACTAAAATTTCTCATGTTTATTGATTAGGTGCATTTGTTTCTTTAAGTTGTTACATATCTTTCTAACAGCTTTTTACAAATTCTGTCTGCTAATTCTAATATTGCTATCCTTTATAGATCTGCTTCTATTGACTATATTTCAGGGAGGTGAGTGGGTTATATTTTCTACTTCTCCACACATATTGTATGTTTTGATTGTATGATTGATTTTGTAAATGCCACATTGCTGAGAGTCATTTTTTTATTTTAATTTTTCTTTTAAAAGGGTAAACTTTGTGTTGGTAGACAGTTTACAGACAGATGAACTTGATCCCCTCAGGGTGTGATTTAAAATTTACTTTTTTAGAACAGCCCTCCTCCTAATGGATTTTTTTCTGGGCTCTTAGTTGAATGCCCGGGGTTTACAGGAGATTTCTCCACTTTTGCTGTGCAGAACTTCAATGTCTGTAAGTATTGTGCAACTTGTACACTCTCGATTTGCCTCAAAGATCCACAGTAATTGTTTCCCCCAAGGCAATGTGGAGGCATGTCATGTGCATGCACAACTAAACATTAACTAATGGGGTCCTCTATATGGATTGCTGGAATTCTTTTTATATAGCTCCAACTTTCATGGTACGTGTCCTATAAATTTTGGTCACAACAAGATTCTCAAACTCTGATTCTTTCTGACTATTTAGATCAGTGAGACCTTTGTGCTTTTCTTGAGCTCCATCTTCTTGCCCTGCAGTATAAGAGTGTTGTCAATAGAAAGTCACAGCAAGTTTTCTCTTGTGCATTTACTGTATTTCAGCATTTATAGGCCTGATCCTTCTATTGTCCAATATCTGAAAATAGT